TTTTTTTTTTTTTTTTTTTTTGAGACAGGGTCTAGCTATAGCCCAAGCTGACCTTGAACTCTCGATCCTCCTGCCTCTGCCTCCTGAGTGCTGGGATTACAGGAGTGCACCACTCTTACTAATTTGTCAGTTCTTAGCTCAAATGCTGTTTCTTCAGGAAAGTCTTCATTGTTCTCCAGAACAGGTTAGGACTCCCAGTTGTATGCTCTCATCACATCTTCTTCCTTTCCTTTGTAGTACTTGTCATGGACTGTAATTAAATATTTGTTGTTTTGAATATTTGATTAATATCTGTCATGTCTAACAGACTGAAAGCCCTAGGAGGGCAAGATGTAAGCTTTTTTCCTACGAAACTGTAAGAGCATGATAGTATAATGCTTAGCACACTAATATTATAAGGCACGCTCAAGGTTTTAAAGGATCACAGAGAGAGTGGATGTCAAAGCCCCTAGCAAAATCCTAGATAAAAGAAGTGCTATTTAGAATGACTACCCAAGGGACATACTTTTCAAACCTTCTAAGTTCTAACTTTGGACTTGTTTATACCACAAGAAAGCAGTTTGCTTGGACCATATTAAACACACCCTGAAAAAAATAACCATCATTAGGTTGATTTTTTTATGTCCTTGGCTTATATTGGATCTAAGAAATACCTATATAAATTTTGCTTTTGCATTTGTTGCTCAAATCATCTTGATTGCTTTGTTACTATCATTCATTGTGTAAAGTCACATGAGAAACTACCTTTAGAACTTAGTGATACAGAAAACAAAACTATGGTGTATTTCCTCTGCTGATTCCTTTTAGATGACAAAAATCTATTTAACATGTACTGTTTTCAATATTGCCCTGGCATTCAAGAAGATCAGAGCTAAATTTCAAATTCAGTTCCAGTCATGATTAACTCCAAGATAATTGTGATCTCTTTTTTCTCTGATGCTAATGTTCTATTTCTAGGTTAGCCTATTGTAAATCTGCTTTGCATTCTCCTTGACAATGAACGGGATAAAATAAATTTAACATGGTCTGTGGGTTGTAGCTCACTGGTAGAGTGTGTGCCTAGCATGTGCAAGGACCTGGGTTTCATTCTTAGAACCGCAAAATAAATGAATAAATAACATTTGGCATGCTCAGTCATCTTAGAATTATTTATTTTACAAAGATCAATGCAAAAACACGACCTATAATATGTGTGTGTGTGTGTGTGTGTGTGTGTGTGTGTGTGTGTGTGTGAGATGCCGAGGATTGAAGTCAAGGCCTCTGGCTTGTGAGGCAGGAGCTCTATCCCTTGAGCCACACCTCCAGCGCATACGTTATGATGTTTAAAGAATTTGGAGAAACAGAAGAGGACTCAGAGAAAATCAACAACAAAAAAAATGGAGCTTAAAGTAGAATGCCTATGTTCCAAGTGAGGTGCTGAGGCACGGTCGACTGCCATCCTGGCTATTAGAAGAGAGTATCTAGAATTTGGACTGTTCTGGAAAGTCAATCACAGAGATATGTTGAAAATGGATCCCAGGAGGCATGACCATTATTTAATATAGATTACTTCTTACAGAACGGCTTTAACCTTTTTGGATCACAGATCCCTCTGACGATCCGTTGAAAGCACTGAAACTGCTCCCCAGGAAAATACAAGCACACAGTTTCTTTAGAAAGCAGAACCATTTTCCCAGAATGTCGGCCGGCCGTGAGGAAGAACCTGCCTGAGCTGCCAAGTCAGATGCAGAAGCGCAAGTCAGCGCTTAATGGTTTAAGCCACTTTTTTTTTTTAATTTTTGCGTAAGAGACGCATTTGATGAATTAATATATGTGTCATCTATTCCCCAAATACATCCACAAACACACCTCTACACAATTTTGACCACAATTTCATCGGGTCCGTGGACTTCCTAAAAATCCATCCTCAAATAATCGGTTAGGTTTAAGCGCAGATTTCTCTGGACTCAGCGGAATGCCCCTGATGACCTTAGAGAATCACCTTCTCTTTTATCATGGGGACAAGAGCCGCCCAGAAGCAGGTTACCGGGTCACCGGGAGGCCCCCGACCCCAGCAGCCTCACACCCAGCCCTACAAGCTGCCCCTCCCCCACGCCCGTGCAGCGCAGGTGCGAAAACCTGAGGGGCCACCCGCTCACTACGGCCTGGGAGAGGAGAGGGGGAGGGGACCCTGGGAGGGGCAGAGGCGGGGGTGGGGGCCTTCCCGATGTTGCTTGGCTACCACGCTCTCCTCCCAGACCGTTCCACTTCCTCAGCGGGGGCGCTACGGGCCCAGCGCCGGCTGACCGACCTCCCGGAACAGCCCTCTTCCGGCTTCCTCCCCCCTCCGGGCGGTGGCGAGCGCCGTGACGTCACAGGAGGCGGGGCCAGAGCCGCTGCCGGGTGCTGAAGGCGCCATTGGAGCCGGCTTGGCTCTGGAGCCCCGCTGAGGAGCCGGAGCTCAGGTCATAGTTGCCGCCGCGTCCGCTCCTGGTCCTTCGCCATTCAGCGGCATGGCGTGCGGAGCGACACTGAAGCGGCCCATGGAGTTCGAAGCGGCGCTGCTGAGCCCCGGTTCCCCGAAGCGGCGGCGCTGTGCCCCTCTGCCCGGCCCCACTCCGGGCCTCAGGCCCCCGGACGCCGAGCCGCCGCCACTTCAGATGCAGACCCCGCCGCCGTCTCTACAGCAGCCCGCCCCGCCCGGCAGCGAGCGGCGCCTTCCAACTCCGGGTAACCTGCGCTGCTGCGGGCTTGGCAGGAAGCCAGGCCCAGGCATGGGGGAGGGGGCGGGGTGGGAGAGGCTGGGGAACGCCGGCCCGGTTCACCCACGGACCCCCTCTTTGCCTTGAGAAAAAGGAACTGGGGTGCTGCTTGGCCTGTTTGCTTCCGGAAACGGGAGACATCCGGGAGGGGCAGTCGCCCCATGGTGTCGGTTTTGGGTTTTCCTGGAACGAGGAGTGGGCTGGGCACGGAGAGGAAGGTAGGAATTATCCCCCAGCCCCGGGCCCTGCCGGCCCCTGAAGCCCCTCCTGCCTTCTCCGCAGCGAGCCGCCCTGCTGATCCAGTGGGCCCTGGGAAATTGGATTCTGCTCACACGTCGGCGGGGGGGGAGGTCGAGGGGGGGCAGGGGAGGCTCGGTGATGATGGGGAAGGGGCGTAAGTGTGCTGCCCAGCACCATGCTGTAGCTTGTAGGGAGACCTGGTTACCAGAAGTCTTTAGGGATCAGATGCCGCCGCAGGAGTCATGGAATCCAATTTTAACCTGACCATTTCTAAAAGGGACTGGCCATGTTTTATTGTGTGGCTATTGTCTTGTACCATATATGGCTTGAGGTGGGTAGGTTCTTGGCCAGAATTTGGGAATGTTTCAACATCCAGAGGTCAAGGAGTAGAGATTCAGCTCTCTGCAGCCCAGGGACTCTTCCTTCATAAGGCATTCCACTTTGGCCAAGGGAAGGGAAGGACTCGTATGACAGAAAAGATACCTATCATATTGCAGTAGTACGAGGAAAGTGCATCAGCATTAATATTAAGCAGTTTTAAAGGGTTCCCAGAAATGAGCTTTCGAAAATGAATTTTGGAGAGTCATTTATTTTTTTTTTATTCCTCGAGCTTAAGCAAAACCTTGGAATCCCCTTTAAAATGATCTTTCCTCACCTCTGTTCAGCTACAAGTGCCTTTACGTTTCATTTCCTCCATCCTCTGCACACCCACTATTCAGATTTCAGGTCCCCATTCCCACACAAAGACTCCTGCAGCCATCTGAGCTTTCCCAGATCTAATATTCTTAATCAAGTTCATCTCCTCAGTCCTAGAATTAAAACGATTTGTTAGCTATCAACCTGTCTTACCTAGTTAGAACTTTTATGTATTTTTCTTCATTGTGTCTGACTTCCCTCCAGACCCACTTTGCTGTCTCTTTTTCTTTCTGTTTGCTAATTCCAAGAGTCATTCCATCTATTACCTAACCAACCCATAAGGAATTCTGTTCTGCTTTAAATTCCATGATCACTTAATGTTGTACATAGCCTTAAGCACAGAATGAGGTAACATTTGGAAAAGTTTTTTGTAATGGACCCTTAAAAGCAGGGAGCATGCGGGGCCTGGTGGTGTGTTTCTGTAGTCCCGCCTACTTGGGAGGGTGAGATGGGAAGACCACTTGAGCCCACCAACCTAGGCAACATAATGAGAGCACATCCCATCTCAAAAAAAAAAAAAAAAAAAAAAAGGTTTGGGGGCAGAGGTGTCCACTTGAAAAGTGAGGTTTTTATGGATTTTATGTAAATGTTTTATTTCTTCAATACTTACCGTCTAGATTAGTTGCATTGTAGTTGACATCACAATTGCTTAATACATGAAAATTGCTGAAATTATTTGAAAGCCTGAATATGGCAGGCTATATATTTTTTAATTTTATTTTCATGATTTTTTTTTTTGGTGCTGGTTGTCAAGCATGTGCTGGAGGAGATACACCCTCGGTTATGTTACTTAGTTTTTATTTTATTTTGTGGTGCTGGGGATCAAACCCAGGGCCTCACACTTGCATTCACTCTATCACTGAGTTACATTTTGTTAATGTTTATTGGAATTTGGTTCTGTCATTAAAGAAATACAAAGTATTAATAATTCGTTATTCCAGCTGGCCAGTGGCTCAAGTGGTAGGGCACCTTTGCCTAGCAAGTGTGAAGCCCTGAGTTCAAACCCCAGAACCACAAAAAAAAAAAGAAAAAGAAAAAATAATTCATTGTATGTTTTGTCTTAAGTGAAAGATGTCTTCTGGATTAAAAAGGAAGATGGGGGGAATGTTAGTTGCTATACAAATAGAATAAGGTCAGGTAATGGAAAGGTGACTGTTTAACAATTTGACTTCATTTTGTAACATGCCAGTTATTTCAAGGGTGTAAACTTCTCTCAGAAATAGTCAAGAAATTTTAATTTTAAAAAATGATACGTGTAACAAAAGCACCTCTTATGAAAAGGGCCTATAAAATTAATCTTTTATTGCTTAAATTTTTAATGAGTAGATACCAGTCATGGGGTTGCTCAGGGGATGTTTGTAAATGTGGAATGAATCTAGATGCCAAGCACTTAATTGATTATGACTTGATTTTTTTTTTTTTTTGGTGGTACACTGGAGTTTGTACTCAGGGCCTCATGCTTGCTAACCAGGTGCTCTAGTACCACTTGAACCACTCTGCCAGCTTGATTGTGCCTTGAGAGCTGGAGAATACCTTCTACATTGAGGTGGATTTTAGCTGAGTCCTCAATGTTTGGGAGAAAGGCTGAGTCCCATGTCAAGCAAAGGGAAACTGCTAGAGCAGAGTCAGAACACCAACAAATTAAGAAAAGTTTAATGGAACTAGGTTGTAGTGGGAGATAGAACTAGGAAAATAAATTGGGGCTGGATCTTGAATGGTATATTTAAGTGTTTGAATTTTGACCTGTAGATATTCTGATAGAACCTGAATAATGAGTGGCAAGATTAAAATTAGCCAATGTTAAAAAGGAATTTGCACTTTTCTTTTTTTAAAAAAAAAAATGCTGTTTTCTTGTTTTATGTGTCCTCCTTCAAAAGAAAATCATATCTATTTCTTGTTTTTTTCCCTGTAGATACCGTATTTAGATTCTTGAACTTGGTAGTCTTTCTGCTAGTCTCAAAGTTTTATCTTTCCATTTGTTCACTGTGGTATACAGGAGGCAGTTGGAGTTTATCAAAGACCTTCTGTACTCAGAAGCATTGTCTTCATACTTGTCTTTTCTTGTTTCAAGTCACTGCAGTTCCTTACATCCTTGTATTGAATCTAGCAGGAATATTACTTTTTAAAAACAAATACTTGGACCAGAAGTGTGGCTCAAGCAGTAGAGTGCCTGCTTTGCAAGAACGAAGCCCTGGGTTCAAACCCCAGTTCCGTCAAGAAAACGTATATAAATAAAAACCTCATAAATTCAGGGATCTAAAATACAAACTTCATAGCATTCTTAAGGGAAAGCATCGCTAATCCTATATTCCAGCATTTGGGCAGAGAATGAAGGAGTTTAACCTAGGTGTGAAGGTACTTTGAATTCATGTTGTGTCCTGCACTGCACCATTACTTGTTATGGCGTTATTAATATCTTTAATTTTGATTCATACTATAATCATATAGGTATTTGGTATTTATATTGAAGAACTAAAGATACTGAATGGTGTCCCAAAGTTACAGTCACATTGCTAGTAAGAAGCAAAGTGGCATTAGTATATTCCACCACTAAAATACATGGTCATAGTGGAGTAAATATACACTAGAATAATTTGCATTAGAGGGACAATTTTCTGGATTTATTTTGTTTGTTTGCTTGTTTCTTATTAGGCTTTATATTATCTGGAATGTGAATACAAAAATAAAAAAACTTGAAAATCTCATCCTTCCAGATTCTTTGCTATCTTTAGGAGTATACTTCAAGATAGTTAGTAATTGGTATTTCCTGGATTGAGTTTAATAACATTACCAAATTTGGTTTGATCACCTTGACTCGAAAATAATCTGCCTCTTGTAGGATCAGAAAACTCTTTTCTAGTCCTTACTATCAATTACAAGCAATAAATCTCAGCTCCTCCTCTGGTCAGTGTCCAGGCTGTCAACATAATTTTGGTTTTCTCTTCCCCAAAAGTCTTAAAGAGTCTCAACATACGGGACAAAAGCTGCATTGTTAGAAAGCTTTGGGTGATAAGAGATGTACCCTTAATATTGTATGTAGTTTGTGAAAATGTAAAACTTAAAAGGTCAAAAATAATAGGATGGTTTCTTTTATTGCAAATTGAATTAATCATCCAGCATACAGCAGGTCTAGTCTTCCTTGCCACAGGAAAACACATGAAGGAAACTGTCTGGGTGGCTTATGCCAAAATAGCTGCTCTTCTGTGCATTTTGAAATAGTGGCAATTAGAGCCCACACTTTGGGGCTATAGAAGGAGTGCTTTATGCAGTATAAACATTGACTTGTAAATAACATGAGGGGAGGGAGGAGATTGAGATCTGTATGCCAAAGGAAATATTTAAAGTATAGTCAGTACACCTTTCTTGGATTGGGGATATAGCCCAATTGTAGAGTACTTGCCTAGCATGCATGAGGCCCTGGATTCAAGCTCTAGCCTCATGCAAAAAAAGAAGAAAAGAATAAAGATTTTCCTTGTCTAGTCCAACTTCTAAAAATTTTGAAGAAATGACACAATAAACTTAGTGCTCAAGTTTGTTTTCTTTTCTCATTAGAGCAAATTTTTCAGAACATAAAGCAAGAATATAGTCGTTATCAGAGGTGGAGACATTTAGAAGTTGTTCTCAATCAGAGTGAAGCTTGTACTTCAGAAAGCCAGCCTCACTCCTCTGCACTTACAGCACCTAGTTCTCCAGGTAAGGGTGCTTTGGTATGCAAAATCCAATTTTGGAATTTAAGAATATGCTTGTTTATAACTGCAATGTATCTATCTATTAGCCATTTAAGTTAACTAAAATTAAATTTTTGAATTAATTTCTCAGATGCAATAATCACATTTAAAGTTCACAATAACCACATGTGACTGTTGTATTGAGCACACAATTATAGGACTTTTCCATCATTACAGAAAGTTCTGTTGGACAGTCTTGTTATGGAACATCATTGGCACATGGTGAGAGGATATGCTCAAAAATAAAGTCTCAGGGTTGGAGGGAATCTTTATGGTCACTTAGTGAATATGGCAAGTTTGCCTGCCATATTCATGCATATGATCAACAAGCCAGTGTCTGAACATCTGCAAGCGTTGGGAAGCTCTTGTCTCCTTTAACAGTGGAGGAGTTTGTTTCCTCAGAAGAGAGTATAATTCTTAATAATTCTAAGGGCTAAAAGTTACCTTAAGAATTGTCTCAAGGGACATGGTGTGGTACACACTTATAATCCCAGCATTCCCTCAGCATTTGGGGAAGGGAGGCAGGACTTTGAGACCAGCCTGGGCTACATAGTGAGGCCTTGTCTCAAACTACCAAAAAAAAAAAAAAAAAAAATTGTCTCCTTTCAGAATAGAAATTGGTGGTTGCCAGGAGCTAGGGGAAGGGGAGAGTGGGGCGAAACCACATACCTGGTAAGGGGTTTTATTTTTTTTAGAGTGATAGAAATGTTTTCAAGCTAGATAGAAGTGGTTGTTGCACAATATTGTGACTATTGAATGTCACTGAATTGTTTGCTTTTGAAGTGCTTAATTCTGTGTTATATAAATTTCAACTTAAATTATTATTTGCAGTCTGGGATGGAATTCAGGGTTTTATGCATGCTAGCCAGGTAAGCACTCACTCTTACTACAGAGCTACACTGTCATTGCCAATTATTATTATTATTAAATAATAATGATTAGTATATTGATGATGACAGAGAATTAGTCAGAGACCTTAGAATCAAGGCCAATGCTAACTTTTTTGATACTGGGGATCAAACCCAGGGCCTTATGCAAGCAATCTATGACTGAGCTATATCCCCAACTCTCTTTCATTTTGAGACAGAGTGTCACTAAGTTGGCCAGGCTGGCCTTGAACTTGGGATCCTCCTGCATCAGTCACCTGAGTAGATGGGATTATAGATGTGTGCCACCATGCCCACCTCAATAAATAAGTATTTACTTATTTAGTAGTACTAGAGATAGAACCTAGGGCCTTATGTGTGCTAGATAAGTAGTACTCTTACCACTAAGCTATGTCCCCAACTCAATAAAATTTTTTTTTTTATTGTCTCCTTGGGGGCAAATGGAGTATCTCAAGTGGTAGACCACCTGCCTAGCAAGTGCAAATCCTGAGTTTAAACCCTGGTACTGCTCAAAAAAAAAGAAAAAGTAAAAAAAAATTCCCTTTGTCAAGAATGGTGGTAATATGCCTGTAATCCTAAACATTCAGGAGGCTGAGACAGGAAGATCTTGGGTTCAAGGCCAGCCTGGGCCTACATAGCGAGATCCTGTCTCAATAAACAAACGATTGTCTCCTTAGCCAGGCATGGTGGTCCATGTCTATAATTCCAACCCTCTGGAGGCTAAGAGAGGGAGGATTGTGAGTTGGAGGCCATCTAGGTTACAGTAAGAGACCCTGTTTCCAAAAAAAAAAAAAAAAAAATTGTTTCCTTAACACCTGGCTCTGGAACAATATCCTATTTAATTTCTCTTGGATATACTCAAATTTCAGTCTCTTCAGTGGTTACAGCTAATAAGTATCCTAATTGTTTCTTGAGATTTTAGTAATAGAATTTGTTTGAGACAGGATCTCACTGTGTAGCTAAGGCTGGCCTTCAACACTTTGTGTGTGTGTGGTACTGGAGTTTGAACTCAGGGCCTACACCTCGAACTACTCCACTGCTCCACCAGCTCTTTTTTTTTTTTTTTT